AGACTTTCTCTTTACGCGAGACAAAGTAGACTCTAAAGTTTGCCCCTGCAACTATAGAGCTACTCAAGATCCTACCCATATCCTCCTTAGCTGTACGCTATATAAGGAGGCTAGGATAAAGATGCAGGAGGCGAGCAAGGACCCCCTATCGCTAGCCTTCCTGCTAAACACGAGCGTAGGCATACAGGCTACTATTGCCTTTATTGAAGAAACTAGGGCTGCAACACAGGCCTGGCACAAAGGAAACCTCGAGAACTAGGGCAACACCTATACTAGGTGGCCTCGCCCTACACCCACCCTACCTCTCTCTTTTACCCGCAAGACCCCCTTCTACCTCCCTCTAGACTAGGCTACGAGCCTCACCTCGATTTAGATAGCCCCCTCCCCCACCTACACCAAAGTGATAGCACTACGTAGATACTTGCGGGCCTAGCCTGCACGTCTTATATAGCCCACCGGCTGAGACAGGACGTAAAACCAAAATAATAATAATAATAATAATACGCTACACTAAGTTTATCTATCGTCTAGCTATTGTCTAAGACGCCAATCGTCTAGTCTAGTAGGAGGTTGTAATACTAGCTGTTCTAGTAGACCTTACTAGATAGAGTTACGAATAGCAGTAGAGACTAGCTAGACGCGTTAACTGTAACGGGCTGAATGCTCTTTAGATAGCTCCTTGATAGGATCTTGGTCTACTCGTAGAATCTAGGTGCTCGAGGTAGCATCCGGATTCTCTGCGCACCGCCTGAACGACATTCAGACAACAGCCGCAGGATCTAGGAGTTGCTTCGTGCTCCTAGACTTCATCGGCCTAATTATTACTTAGGTAACTAGCTTATATATAGATAGCTACACAGCTTAGGAGCTTAGCTCTGTATCGAATACAATCTCTTGTATACCTCGCGATTACTCCCCGGAGCGCAGCCCCTTGCAGCATTCTCTTCTACTACTTCTAAAATATAATATCAAGTATGGAAGGACTATAAAGTAGCAAAGATTCTGTATACTTAGTAATTAAAAAAGAGTAGTGTAATAAGTTTCTCACAGCATATAGTAGAGCAGAATAACTTAATCTACATAAAGTATATATATTTTAAGTATATAAGAATTTTATTAGAGCTGTTAAGTAAGGTAATACTATATATAACGGAGTTACATGCCTATATGTAAGGGGCTGCGCTCCGGAGAGCAATCGCGAGGTATACAAGAGGTTGTATTCGATGAGGAGCTATCTACTCTACTTAGGTGGCGTTTATTTACTTATCGGAGAAAGTTTATGCCAAGTATCTAAGCGCGTTGTCTAAACGCTGCTCGGGTGGCACCTGAATTCTACGCTCGTCGTCTAAACATAGTTTAGATAGCGCGCACGCAGCTTGAACCGAGATCCTATCGAGGAGCTATCTAAAGGGTGTTCAGCCCGTTACACTATATATATTATACTACACTAGAATAATCAGTTCGGATTATTCTCGTACTTACCTTTTGCTAGTGGGTTAGTTACGGCTAAGTCGTTGCCACGTAGTATTGGCTTAGTGGGCGCTGGTGCTCACATCAATTACACGCGATAGCGTAGCTCTAATAAGCTTAGAACGAGTTCTAAGAATTTAAGCAGATTAAAAACCTCCTTTATACGATTTAAGGCCAGCTCCTAGTTAGCAACGCACAGACGTCTATGATAACTCCAAGTAAGAGCGGTCAACAACCTAGCTATGACTCAACGCCCACCGCTAGATCAGCCGTACAAAGATTTGAAAAAGTATGACTTCTAGACGTAGAAGTCTTTGATAAAGGAACATACGAAGAATACTTCTAATAGAAAACCCGCATATAAGCTAAGCTTCTTACTAATTGTAATGGGCTGCGCCCTTAATAATAACTTGGCTATGCTAAGTAGCGATTAGCGCGTCGCGCGCTGATTCCGAGCATATATACCCAGCTATCAAGATAATAAGACAAGCTTATTATCTTGTGCAAACCTTTTGGTTACATGGGCGGCGTGAGTAGCTGCGCGCTAGGCCGGGTTCGGCCCACCCATTACACTAATTACCTTACGTACTCTATAGAAGAGTACTAAGTACACTATATAACTACTCGTACGAAAGGATGGGCCTTTACCGCTCTTTAAGTTTACGTTATAGCAGTAAGGAGGTATCTCGTAAAAGTTATGTCCCGCCAAGAATAATCTATCAAAAGTACGGCCGCCTTAGCTACGGCTTGTCTCTCCTATCTATATACTTATTACTACCTTATAACTTGATTATCTTTTTAATATATATAAGAATTTACTTAATCTTAGCTTAGATCTTAAGTTACGAGAGATCTTTCTAGTAGTTCTACTAGATTCTAACTACCTCAGTCTTTAACCATAGAGCTTCTTTCTTTATAGTCTCACTCTTTATCTAGAAGTATTATAGCTTAATATAGCTATAGTCTAGTAAGTTACTATACTAGAGTAGTCTCTTAAAGTCGTATAAGCGATATATTATACTCTAATGGTAATAGGCGTAGCTAGGTGCCGTATTCTCTATAGAGGCTTACGCTGAGCGTTTAGCTACTTAATCTAATACGTAGTATTCTTTTTCTCTATCGTCATCTCTAGCTAATAGATATAGGATAAATCTTTCTTATTATATAAAAAGTAGCTCTAGAATATAAATTTAGAGTATCTCTACTACCTCTTATAAATATAGCTCTTAACTACTCTTTTGTTCATCTTTCTCTAGACTTTATAGTCTCTACGTTGGTATTTAATTACTATAAAGGTTCTATCTATCTAAATAATATTCTTCTACTTCTCTAATAACTATCTAATTTTCATAATTTATCGCCTACCTAAGATAAGAACTTCTTATCACCTATCTTAACCTAGACTTTCTTATCAGCTTAGAATTTCTATATTTTACTACTCTTAATACCCTCTAGACTATAGTACGTAATATATCAACTTCTTTAAGACTAAGAGCACTAGTAATGTTAGCGTAGCTTTTCTCTTATCTATATACATTACGTTATACTTATTAGATTATCTACTCTTTTATCTTATCTATCTACTTTAAAGGTTAGCTAGAGTAAGAGGCGTTTTATACGTGCTTTAAGAGGATCTTAAGAGGAAGAACGTTTAGCTTAAAACTAGCCTTAATAATTCTACTATAGATACGACTAACCGTACGAGGATAAACACTAGTAAGCTTAGAGATCTATAATGTAGACTTACTAATAGAACGTAACTTTAACACTATAAATAAGGTGCGGGTGTAAGTATTAGTATTAGGAGATATTGTAACGATAGATACAGACAAATCGTATAGCTACTCAGCATCAAGAAGAGATTTACGCCAAGAAGAGTTATACCGAAGCGCCGAGATAAGCGTGGGACAGAACTTTTGTGAGGCACCTCCGTATGCCAAAGCATTTGAGCATCTTCAGACCTCTGCGCAAGCGCGTATCTCAAAAACAATGGCGCTATAGCCAGACTAGACTAGCCCTTGCCAGTGTGAGCCACTGCATATCGATTTAGCTCCACATGGTGTAGGACACAGCTCATGGTATGACAAATTGGCTCCGGGAGACCCTTGTCCATGCGTTGATGAAACTATTCTATACATCATCCCGGACACCGGAGAGTAATCGCTGTGGGGTATTAGATAGATGTATTCGATTGAGGCTCTGCCCTTCTCCTCGTTTACATATCCAAAGGTGTTCTTGTCGACCAGATGAGTGGCCCTCGTCCCAAGTTGACTCGACGGAGAGGTGCATGTGACGAGTGCCGTCTGAAAAAGGTCCGATGTAAGCTTGTTCCGTGATTACCAAGGTACATGCTAACAAACACAGGCAATGGAGCGAATCCATGTAACCGATGTGAAGTACACAAAAGCCTTCGTTTTATTCCGAAATTTGCCAATAACACCATGACAGCGGAACGAATCTCTTTGCGAATACAACATACATCGCTCACGACGTCCTATGCAAGAGAAGAGTATCCAGAGCCGAGGCGAGCACATATCCACACCGACACAGACATACGCTGTAAACGGCAGCATGATACCTGATTCATCGTACCTAGATCACTCTTATGGGGTTGGGGTTGGTCGGGATGCTGAGGGCTCAGCAAATGCTTTGAACACGCCGTTTAGCGAGGTGTGTTTCTCGCAACTGGTGTCCGATAGCGCGCGCTCGTATCTGGATCTTGATTTCGCAGACGAAACGGCATCGGGCACCAGTCAAGCCAAGAACACAGGTACATATCAGGACTCATTTATTTCTATTTCTCAGTTCTGGGGGGATGCATCTATGACTGTTGTGATTGAAGCAGTTTGTTCTTTTCCGACGGAACCATTGGCTGACTAGAGGATAGAGCCGGATTATCAAGCCAGCGGTCTACAGAATCAAATGTCGTGCAATAGCTCCATAAACAACACAACCATGCTGGATTGGCTGGAATTGGGCTACGACGAAAACCTGCGTCAGCATAGTACCGCTCAGCCCTGTGGCTTGCTAGGAACTGAGGTAGATAGCGGCAGCGCTAAGTGTACACTATCGCTGCTCTCGGAACGAATGGTAGCCGATAAAGCAGAGGTGAACGATCTGTTTCCCTTCATTGAATACTCATCTCTAACATTGCCAAGACAAAGCCATTCCTAAACCGTAGAACGTGCGACCTCACTGTCCTTTTCAAAAACGGATATCGAGGAAGCCGTAAACAACAGGCAGTATGGGGGAAGGTTGAAGTATTACTGTCGTCAAATCATCAGGCTTGTATCTCTGACCTCTTGCGCAAGATTGACTCTGGTGGAGAACACCAGAGCTTAGACCTCACCAGTCTCCCTGTAGAGAAGCTTGTTCAGAGTACGTTTTCACTGCCATCTGCAGATAACTTACTAATGATTCACAAGGGGCGTTCAGAGAGCTAGGAGGGTAAGTCAATCGAACGGCAAATAAACTACATTAGCTCATGTTTGTGGTAGCTTGAATCTGTTCATCAAAGAACAAGACGTTACGCACATACAAGAGCGGTTTTTTGACCCGGAAAAGCTACCTATAGATGTCAGCGATATGTCTTTGCTAATCACGTCATTGGCTTGGGGGGCTTTGTTAGACCCCGAAGTGAGCTCGGTGTCTAAAATAGCGCTACTAGATGCTGTGCTGGAAGCTTCAACGTTGCTACTTCGCCAGCATGGTAGTGTCCGTCAGTTCTTGGTGACTTTTCCTCTGCAATGATAACCGAGGTTTTGCTAACCTAACCAGTCACTTGTTGCTATGGTTTGTCGAAATCCGGCCATCTACGGCGAAGCAGTCGGCTAATCTATCCAGCTCTGTCTTGCCGAAAAAACAGGATCCAGCAATCTGCCTGCGCTTATACTTGGCAGCATTACGACTGCGGCCTCGTTGAGTCTTCATCTGGAACTTGTCCTACGCAGGTTCTGTGTTAGCGACGAGCAAGCCATTCAGGCCGAACGAGCCATGTGGGTGCTCTATTGCATTGATAAGTCCTATGCATTGAGATGGCAAACCTTCTCCGTAAGTTCTCGCTCTATCTGGTTATCTCGTAGGTCGGTTGAATACAGGCTAATGCAAGGCAAGCAGCTAGTCGGTGACGGCTCCCTTCCGACTCTGGACAAGCCCAATAACACACTGCAGAGTGACATTCTAACCGCATCATCCTTACAGCTGTTATGGAACCGACTCAAATACTCCAGGATCTGCTCCAGAATTTTGCAGCTCCGTGTAGGGGCGGAAGGAGAGTCATCCGAAGATCGCCTTGATAGAGCCGTGGTGCTATCAACAGCGCTAGAAGAATGGTACAAGTCAGTTGAAACAAGCCAGATGATGCTCTCACTAGACCATAGTGATATTACGCCCGTTAAGCTCCGAATATCCTCTCAGTATTATGAGGCTCGGTTCCAGTTGACAAGTATAAGCCTACCAGACCCACACACTTCTTTTCCTGTAGGGTCTAAGGAGCGTAGGAAATTGCTTAAACCGTCAATCAGGGAGATAATCATGTTGTCTAGCACAATACCGTCCGAACACCTACTCCAAGACTAGTATGTGTCGCATGTGAAAGTACTTCTCACGTTACTTTTGTACTAACCATTTGTACTACAGCAATTGTTTGTTCATCAACACGCTTGCTTTGTGCTTTCTTGCACTAGACGTTCTCTCAGAATCAGGCCCGGACTGTGAGAGGGAGAATCAAGCTTTACTTAGCATTGTTGTCGGATTTTTCGCTAGGATGAGTATCGCATTGCCGCAAAGCGCTGTCTTTGAGGAAGTATCTAGTTTAGTCGAGATTCTTGCATACCGCTGAACCGAAGGCAGAGTAGGAACAATCAACATTAGCTTCCTCAGATTCATGTAGACGGCAAGCGCACTGCCCAGCAAATCTCAATGTCTCAACCACCCGACCTTCAGAGTTGCCAACAAGCAAGCCAATCAAGCTTTTGACGTCGGCTTGGCTTAAGGCTGGTCCTTGAAGCTTGGATATGGGCTTGGATTGCAAGCTTTTGGTGTTTTGGGCGGCTTGCTTGAAACTCGGCTTGAAGGCTTGATAGATTTATGTATAACAGACCGCCCGCCTATACTAATTACATGACGTCTTGATCCCAGTCGCATACGCCGTACCACGCGTCTATCTGGTGGTCGGATACTGGTTTTGTCGCCCCCGTTTTGCCCGTTCCGAAGCCAGCTTTCTGCCACTGTCGTACGCACTGTATTACCGCCAGTAACTGGGATGATATCGCCTGTCTTCGCGGCTCTAATAGATCATCGAGCTCACTAAATATGCGATCACAGTCACAGCTTGAAGCTAGGGTTGATATTACGTCAATAGCGAGCCGGGCAAGTCGTGTGTAGCGGTCGCGCTGTTGTATCCAGTATTGTATCGGGTTATTGGCGGCTTCTGAGCCTTTCTCCGCCCGCGGTTCCCATCGTTTCCATCGTTCGTACTCGTCTAGATCGTCAGTGCTGGCGCTAGAGGTGGCCTTTGGATTGATAAGGCTGTCGATCGCGTCGTCAATATCGTTGGTAACGACCCGCGGCGGCCGAATAACGCGCTCAGAACCCTTGTACTGAGCCCAGAGCGCGCGAAATGCGCTGTTGTTGGCCTCGAGCCACTCTGGCTTATCTGCCCAAGCTATCTCGCAGTAGGTCTTGTAGTATGGATGGAGCAGCGTTGCGGTGTAGTGCGCGGGTGAGTCGTCGAGCTTTGAGTAGTAGACGCTGGCTTTTGCCCATGCGGCGCGAAGGATGATCGCGATGTGATCTTCGGGGGCTTCAGCGTGCACTTTATGGTCGACAGACTCGTAGGTTTTGACGCGCTGCTCGTAGTATGCCAGTATGTATTCAAAGACTGGCATAACCTCTGCGATCGCCCCAAATCGGCCGCTTTTCCCGCGGCCCGCAAGACGCTTTGTTGCCAACTCAAGCAGCTTCAGTATATCAATATACTCAGTAACAACACCCCAATCAGCAGCCGATAGCCCGCTGGATCTCATCCATATCGCGGCATCGGGCAGCTTATTGCCGCAACTTGACGCGTAAGTATCCTCACGTCGTATACGAGTTATATAGTGGCTAGCGTACGCGTTAAGGGCAGCCTGGAGCTATACAGCTCGCTCAAAAGCTGAAAAGTATGAGTTCCAGCGCGTAACGACTGGCTCTACGGGCTGCAATATCTTCTGTTCATGTATAGGTAGTTCCTGATCAGCGAGACGCTGAAAGCTCTCGAACAGCTCTTGTTGTTGCGGCGTCTTAATGTGGTTGATTATAGCAATAAGTATACATAATGGGCCATCTCGACACCACTGTTGTAGGAGTCTATCCCCGTCTTGTAGATTTTCGTCTGTGTTGTCGTACGCAGCTGCGTTGTTGCCCCAGAGGAACGCTTGGCTGACCAAATTAAGAGTATGTGGGCCACATCGGAGTCGCCGATGTGACGCGGTAAAGCCCATCTGCTGGACAATTTGATCAATAACAGCGCATAGACTACAAGAGTCGCACGTATGAAAATCTCCGGATACTGCCTGAGCAGGCAGGTTTAACCTACGATTGCTTCGAGCACAAAGGCCTCGGCGACATGGAGGTCAAGACGATCGAGCAGCTGCCTGTTTCGATTCTCCGTGATATCGCTCAAGCACAATAATTAGCCATAAGTCTGCCTATGTGTTGATGGCCACGACCTCGTTTGTCTATGCAGATTGGCTCACTGCGAGCCTCAAGCTGATAAATGATTCTGCCCCACGCTCAAGATGGGGTGTGTAGTGTTATCGGTCTCACAGCGTGCCGCTTGTCCATAGGGAACGGTCCAATAACTTACAGATACCAATGAACCACTCCCAACAGTCTCACACCCTTTCTGCAAACCTATGTGCAAGGATCTAAAGTCCCTCCCTATGTACCGGAAAACCCTGTGTGCCGGAGACAGCCAACGGAAGAGCAAGGATAGCACCTTTTTCGATACGGTGCTGCGTCTTATTGGCTGTTGGCGGCACACAAGATTTTCCGGTACATAGGAAGGGACTTTAGCTGTTGAATAGCGTTGGCCAATGAAAATAATTCGAAAGTACAGAATAACACGAGTGTATTCAATGTGAAAGCACAATTGATAGCAGATGTATATATAGACATATGGCAAAATAGTGGCATTGCGACTAGCAATTTCATCGGCTGATATGTTTTTAGATAAATCTCATCATAGAGATGATAATTGTCGCTCATTGTTGGATATAGAAGAATAGAATTCCGACCCGAACTCGAGCTGGACGCTCTACCAGTACGGTGTAGGGTGGCTCGCAAGATATTTCCGATCCACCTTCATGTAGTGCGTTCCATTAAATTGCAGTCCTGTGTTCCTCTCTTCGCTGAACACCCATTCTCGCAAAGATTGGAAGTCGGTACACTGGTGAGACCTTAACTTTGCTCCGAAAGGCAACTCCTCTAGAGTTGCATCTGCTGAGCACATGATACCTTCATATATATAAGTAAAACAATAGCTGATATGATCTAAGCCATATTTTCCGGGTTTTTCTATCAGTAAAAGTCGAAAGTCTGTCAAAAGCGTTGTCTGTCACGGTCAGCTTATGACGTATACATAGTTACATTGTACAAACTGACCAGGCAATGCAGCTGATGGGTTGCGCTGATTACATACAACACACCTCTAGGAGGATGATTCTCATCAACTGGCTGAGGAAGAGCAACTCCAGGAGCGTGAAAGAATGCGGTTCCAAAACTATCAGCGTTTGTGGGTCCCAGAATAGAAATTAGAATTACCTTCCCAAACTTCTGTCCATGGTTTTGCGGCCTCATCGAACCTATCGTTGTCCAAAACAATTTCTTTCGTGAGAGACAAAGGGCTAAGCTCTTATGCTTTCTTCCACTGTCGGTTTTTAGGTCGAATATTCACTTCAGGGGGAACCTAGCTAGCTAGATTTGTGCCTGCAAAAGATTTGTTTTTGTCCAATGACATTGAGGGTTTGTAGCAAGGCACAGCTAGAAGAATGTTTAGTAAAAGTGGAGCCAATGCCACCAGACCTTCCGTTCTAGTGCTCCTATGGAGAGTCCGGGACGAATCTATGGAGGATTCTGCCTCTGTGAGACTTAGTGAGTCTGGTACTGACACGTACGATCCATGAGAACGGCCAAGGAATCCATGCAGGTAGGTAAGAGGTAGAGAGAGGAACTTCATTCTTGGTAGATCAAGTGATGCCCAAGACAGCTAGTCGGCAAGGTGGCTAAGCAAAGAAATCGTGATGGCTTATCTAAAAAGTGGTTTGTCTGAGTTGTTAAAATAGGAGTTCGGTTCAGAATTCCGAGCTCGCTGTTTTGCGGGAACACAATGATCGGTTAGATCGCACCGAAATCCCCTACAACTCGTTTATTGTGGCATTCCGTGCGACTACACCAGTTCACACAACAAATGAGACCACTCGCCTCAGCGCTTAAAAGGTGCGACTGAGCACCATGCTGGTAGGAGCTAGTAGAAGTAGAAGTATTTAATACACTTCATCAATACAAGGAGGCGTGAGTATCACTAAACTGCATGGATTTCCACTTTTCGGAAACTACATTAATGGCTTCCGAAAGTTGGCGCTCGCCTCTTTTCCGCAGCATCTTTGAAAACCGAGAATGCATCTTTTTTACGGACCGAGAGCAGGTAAAAGACACGTCAGCAGGGAGCATATAATGCATTGAGCTAAACACAAAGTAGAGCACAGTCGAGGCCGAAATGCTTGAGCGCACGGCAAATGCCCACAGAGCTAGGCTAAGGTTGTCGGAGATAAAGTGATGCTACACTGAGAGGTTTATTTTCCTCTAGTTGCCTTTCATATCCGCTCTGTAAACTAGCCTCGAGTGTAGAGTTGTGCTGTTTGATTGTTTCTCTTCCTACGGAGGTGGCTTTCAAAAGTTCTTGCTAGCGCAGTTAGCTATTGGCGGATGTTTCTTGGCACAATCCAGAGTGTTTCGATGAGGCTGTAGCTGGCTAGTAGTATACTCGCTTTCTTTGGTGTTGTACTCTCTAATGGCTCCTAATACAGATCTTTCTACACGAGCCTTGATTGTCACCTTAAAGTCTCTTTTGGAGGCAAGTCAACGAGCCAGATCAGCGCCATCACTGGTATCTCTCCACGCACGATTGATGCTATCTATGGCCGAGCCTGCCAGGGAGGCTTTGAGCCAGATGGGCCTACAATAAAGCCCCTCCTTGAATATCTTAAAGATGCTCTACGTATAGGCCGCCCACGTAAGCAAGAGACTATTCAAGAGGCTACTATTTAAAAAATAGACCGTAATCGATATAGACGAGAGAAGAGCTGTACTGATATAGCTGGTAATCTTAGTCTTAAAGGTCACGTCGTCTCATCTACAACAGTGTGGAGAGTTCTTATAGCAGCAGGATACAACAAGACGAAGCTGACGAGGAAGCCTGGGTTGACGAAGAAGATGAGACAAGAGAGACTTAACTGGTGTCTTGCTCACAAGGACTGGACGCTCGAGGATTGGAAGAATGTTATCTGGTTAGACGAGACCTCCGTTGTCCTTAATCACCGCCGTGGTAGCTATCGAGTGTGGAGAAAGTCAGATGAAGCATTTACAAGATCAGTTATTCGGGAGAGGTGGAAAGGCTACACTAAGCTTATGGTGTGGGACTGCTTCTCATTTGATCACAAAGGTCCTCTTCATATATGGAGACTTCAGACATTCTAGGAGAAGAAAGAAGCAGCACTTAAGATCGATGAGATGAGTGAGATCTTAGAGCTGATTATCAGAGAGGAGTGGGAACTCTTAACAGGCATGAAGAGGATAAGGCTAAGAAATAAACCTGGTAAAGCTCCTCAATGGAGATAGAACAAGGAGAATAGAAAGCTCACTCGTGGTAACGATAAGAGTAGTATAAATTAGTAGCGTTATTAATCTTAAGTTCTTCTCCCAAAACTTCTTCCCTTTGCAAAGGAGTGTACAATGGATAGACTAGGTACTATTGTTCAAGAGGACAAGGCTCCCTCTCATGCTCATTACGCTTAGCATCTTGTGTATATATGAGAGAGAGTAGACAGGCTCTCTTTATTATTATTATTATTATTATTTTGGTTTTACGTCCTGTCTCAGCCGGTGGGCTATATAAGACGTGCAGGCTAGGCCCGCAAGTATCTACGTAGTGCTATCACTTTGGTGTAGGTGGGGGAGGGGGCTATCTAAATCGAGGTGAGGCTCGTAGCCTAGTCTAGAGGGAGGTAGAAGGGGGTCTTGCGGGTAAAAGAGAGAGGTAGGGTGGGTGTAGGGCGAGGCCACCTAGTATAGGTGTTGCCCTAGTTCTCGAGGTTTCCTTTGTGCCAGGCCTGTGTTGCAGCCCTAGTTTCTTCAATAAAGGCAATAGTAGCCTGTATGCCTACGCTCGTGTTTAGCAGGAAGGCTAGCGATAGGGGGTCCTTGCTCGCCTCCTGCATCTTTATCCTAGCCTCCTTATATAGCGTACAGCTAAAGGAGGATATGGGTAGGATCTTGAGTAGCTCTATAGTTGCAGGGGGCAAAACTTTAGAGTCTACTTTGTCTCGCGTAAAGAGAAAAGTCTCTTAGGTAACAGTGGCCTAGCTTAA